CATCACAATAAGGCATTCCGGTAAAGATAAAATGCAAAACAATGCGGTGGGGGGGGGTATGGGATAATATCCGTGTTTGCTGTATTTTTACTGGCTGCTAAACGCGCTTTGCTCCTTTTCTCGAGAGGCAATAAGACCTATTAAGCAAATGTGTTTGATGTGCTGATCGAACGGGTGTTATCACATCATCCCTTAAATGCCGCTTTATCTTTCTCTGCCGCGCGTTCTTCCTCCCATACCTAACGGTGGTGACAGTGGTGGAGAAAAAAGAAAAAAGAGACACAAACCCCACCTCCCCCTCTTTCCCACTATTCCCACCCACGGTTTAATATCTCCCCTCCATCAAATTGATTGGTCCGACCAAAATATCCGCCAGGATAAATAAACAAAACTGTATATGTAACGCTTCGCAGATCAATATCTGGCCTACCGGGCCTACCCTCCCCCCCTTTTTTCAATTGGTTTGAGGTGTGTGCGGGGGGATAGGAGTTCTAAAGGGACGAGCATGCTGCGTGCCCGCTGACCGCCACGGACGGGCGCTAGTTAGCATAAACTTGACGATGACGTATTGCTCAGAAGGGTTGTAAGGGGTCCTGGGTCCTGCTCTCTCTGGAAACACTCAAGTGCCGCACAGTATGACAAATGTTTTATGCAGTAACAGGCACATCCTATAATTCATCGGACGCACTTGTCTTGCACTTATCACATGTATATTGCGGAGTGCGTGACCCGAGTTTACGGCTGGTGCCAAGTTCGCTATGGACAAACGGTCGTTATAACCATATTTAAAATTAATGTTGTTGAAGAGACCTATCTCAGACGAAACGAAACACTCGCGCGGGCGGCTCCCCCCTCTCTCTCTCTCTCTCTCTCTCTCTCTCTCTCTGAAAGCCGCCCAGGGAAATTTGTCGGCTCTTCACTAATGAGAGAGAGAGAGGGGGGGAGGGAAGTCGACCAGTTTAGCGACCTATGCGACCAACAGTTGTGCCGTGGATGTGGATATGTGCTCCGCTTGCATTGTGCGTGTGTGGGGAGAGCGGGGCACTACTGTAGCTGCA